GGGTGTCTCCCCTGGATAAATCAAAGTGACAGTATAAAAGCTAGCTTATAGAAATCTTTTACGAAAGATCCAGAATTTTTATAGCAGCTGTCCAACTAATGAGAATATTAGTTATCAGGTCTTTTTGCACACAGCCTTAAAATAATGGTAGGCAACGTTGTGTCCTCCTAGTATTTTAGATTTCAATGCCCATGAATCCCCAGCAAGCATAGCCAATGACAAAGGAGTGTGGAATTACGGTTCAAAATGTCTAGAGAATAGCAGGTTATCTACCCATACTCTAAACCCAAGTTCAGCAGTAAGGAGATAAATTGAATCTCATGTATTTTTTAATCTATTTTCCTGTCCTCATGCAGCCATGAGGGGAAAACTGTAAGCTTTACTACTATTTTAAACCAATCCAATTTACTAGTTATGTCTCAATGGAATTTGAATTAATATAAGCTATATCAGTTTGATCAGATTAGGATCAATCCATGGTTTATATATCTGTTTTGCTTTCAAGCCGTACATCCAATAACCAGAGTTCTCCTGAGTGCAAATATTGTACTGCTGAATTTTCATCAGGGTAAGAGAATGTCTGCTGTAGGAGAAAATAACATGCCAGAACTCCTGCAATTACAGAATATTGTTGCAATGTCCACTGCAGCAATGGTAATTTGGTCAGGTTTATAACAAAACATGGTTACAAACTGGCCAACTTCTCTTCTCCAGCAGTAGAGAAAATGAAGTGTGAGTTTTGAGAAGAATTCAGTTCAACACATTTCTATTTTCCTGCCCATCAAACACGACAGAGCCTTTAACTTGCTTTGAATTATCACTCGGGGACTAGAAGTCATGAATAGTGATGGGGCAGATAATGCAGGTTCCTTAGAAATATGATAACATTTGTTAATGCTTCCCTGGCCTGTCCCCAACCAGTATCTCACACATACTCTCAAACTTCTCTAGGAAACAGAAGGAGAATCAACATAAACTAGGGCTAGAAATAACATTAATGTTTGCCTCACATGGTAACATGCCTATGACTTTGAAGGATTATGACAGAGCAGGAAAGCAGTCATCTCATTTATCCTTTCCCTCAGTGAAACCACAAACTCATGAAAGAAAATTCCTGTGACTCAGAAGGACAGAATAACCATATTCCAGAAGAGTTTTTCTGACTCTTGAATAAATCTAAGTGGTTTACAAAAATCCCACTAAATGCAACTTTTCCCTGCTGGCTGGGAATTATGGGAGTTCAAGTGTACCAGATTCAGACATCTGTGCCATATGTTGTCTTATATTTCAGAACATAGTGTGCCCTACAGAACAGGACATCGCCAGTACTGACCAGGAACAGGGCATTTGTAGCCTTCCAGTTGTTAAACTCCCAGCTACCTACCATCACCAGCCAGCATAATTAATGATCTGACCATGACTGATAGGAATTATAGTCCAACAAATTCTGGAAGGTCATTATTTCTTTGTTTTCTGATACCAAGTTATGAACACTATCAAAAGCAATACTAACAATCAGAATTTAGCTCTTTCTATCTCCTACACAGGGGAAAATGTTAAAAGAAAAACATGCTCATTTCACGATTTTGTGTTGATTCTTCAATAAGCAAAAATTACCTTTCTTCGTTCTTATAGTTTATTCAGCTAATGCATGACTTACAAGGTTAGAACCCAAGAAAATCCTATCTCAATTAGATGAAAAGATAGGATGGGACTTTCAGTGAAATGCACTCCCCCCCCCTTTTAGCTAATCATATCTTCTCTGTAGCTTTTTCAAAATAGTATATAAGGAAAGGCATCACAAAAAAAACCTCTCCCCTGTCCCTTCTGCAATTAGAGCACTAAATTTTTCTGTGATAAAGAACTGTAACTCATATAGACTGGGGGAGTCTAGAAGTACTTTAATAAAGATTGGAAGAGAGTAAGACATTCACAGAATCAGAGCCAATGGTCCAGCCTACCTTTGGATCTATCTTTTATGTAGCCTGTATTTCTGAATATTCAGAGAAAGTACAGCCCAGCAGTAATTAAATTGTTTTCTGTTGTTTAAAATGAATCTGATATCTACAGACACTTTAGTAACGTCTCTTTATGCCATGGTACTTGGCTAGTAGCCAATGCTGCATAACTATCCTGTAGAACTAAGTTTAGACCTTTTAAAATGTACATATCCTATTAGCTAAGAAAAAATACATCTCTTCTCCTTTGGAATATATCCTGTGTGTTTAACATAGAATGATATAATTCTGTGCGGGTCTAGCTTACTAGTACAAAGTTGAAGAAATGAAAATTCAAATGTCAACATTAGTTTATTTGGTCATTTGATGATTTATAGATCTCTTGGTGCCTATGACAAATCGCTCCCCGTATACCCTATGAATAATAATATGTTATTTAGTACCTTGCATACACTGACCCAAATATTAATGATTAATGTCCTCAGTTCCCTCTAGGCTGACTTGTCTTTTTTGGCAAAAAAACCTTATCCCTTCTGTTAAACTTTGATATGGGGCTTTTTCACATTGACAATCATAGTTATACCTACTACTGTACCCCCAAAAAACACCATCCAAACCACAGCTGATTCATATCAGGCTAATTTTCTTAAGTGTCCCTTGTCTGCACCTCCCTCCCCTCTAGCCTGAGACATTCTGGCTGGTGAGAGATTTGATGAGCATACAGTGATACTTTTAGATGTGGGCTGAACTCCAATTGAGTATCTGGCTGCTTTAATAAACAACTTCAGGATACTGGTGACACTTCATGGGAATTTTAAGAAGGAAGTGAAGAAAAGGGTTCCCCATTCTATTCTTAGAAGCAAACAGCCAGACTTGGCCTCTTGATTACAAAGCATGGAATTTATAAATGGTGCCATTCTAAATTTACATTTCATTTGTATACAGTTCAGCTGGACAGTCGTGTATTTCAGCATATTCCACCTTAACCACTGAGTTTTGAAACACCCTGGAAAGTAGAAAGAAAATGGAACTCTACAATGGACCCTGGTTATCACCTTTTGTGCAGCTCTGAAACACATAGAGAATAAGTGCAATGATGCACATTAGAAATGTGATTGTGTCATCTTTGCCAATTATGGGGAATATGGAGTCAGTTATAAGATTCACTCTTCCAAACTCTTCTGCTT